ATTTATGTGATAATATTCCAGTACAGAAAATAATTTTCTTAGACATTAATGTTTTCGGACTTCAAATTTTATTAAGTTTTTAAAATTTTATCCGAAAACGTTTATAAAGATTAGCGGCTGTAACCGTTGTTTTTTCATATTTAGTCTCCTACATAATGTGATAATAGTATTATGGCTATTTATTGCTATTTTGTTATTTGCAATTTTGCCATTAATAATAATAATATTATTACCTGGGTTGTGGAGAGTGATTTTGAATTGATTTAGTAATTTTGAAAAAACATGTTTTCTAGGCAATTGCCTATTGCCATTAATTCCATAATTCATTTAGTTCTTTGAATTATGATTGCCTATATTTGGTTAAGTATGAATAAATGAATATTTGGTATAAATTCATATCATTTAGTTAGTTCATACTCTTTAGATTGTTTTATGCATTCGATCATATTAAATGCATAATATTAAGTTTAATTATGCAATTAGAGTTTGTGAGATTTTGATTTACGAATGATAGCATATCTTTTTGGTTTGATATTGTTTGAATTTGTAAATTCAGTTATTTCTCATAAATTTGATCTTTATGCATTAAAACATTTTGCCATGGGCTTTTAGTTTAAAAATTTTAAAGTATATATTCAGTACATTATTATTCAAAATGTTGGGTCTCTTTTGGTTTGGACTCATCGGTGTTTGAATATTAAGTTTATACTTTAAAATCTCATATTGTAAATTGCTTTAAGTTATGCAATTTATTTGGAATATATATATATATATATATATATATATATATATATATATATATATATATTATCATATTTAAAATAGATTTTATTCAATTGAGTGATTTTTGAATTGATTGAGTGAAAATTCCGTAATATGCTTTCCATAATAATACTTTGAGTTAATGAATAATTTGGTCCCTCAATTATTAGCGAACTGTCAATGTAATTCTTTAATTATTTATTCATCAATTTGGTCCCCGAAAACAATTATTTTTAGTCGATTTAGTCCCTCCGGCCGTCGACGGAAGATGGCCTGGGGGACTACATCGACTAAAAATAATTGTTTTCGGGGACCAAATCGATGAATAAGCGATTGAGGGACTACATTGACAGTTCGCTAATAATTGAGGGGCCAAATTGATCATTAACTCTAATATTTTCATAAGTAATTAGTCTATATTCATAAGTAATTAGTCTATATTACATGAAATAAAAATTAATTTTTGGTTATATATATATTATGCTAACAAATACTCCCTCCGTCCCATTTTATGTGTCTGGTTCGGTTAACGAGGCTTGACTGAAGTTATTTTTAATCCAATTTTTCATAATATTAAATTTAACATTAGTTTATAAAATTTATATATTTAGAAACTACACAAAAAATTAAATTTAAAAATAATTAAAGAATACTAAAGAAAATAAACTAAGAAGAAAGAGTTGGTTTGACCAATGAATAGTAAGTAGGACAGATAAAATGAGACGGAGGGAGTAATACCATATACGAAATACACGGTAATTGAAAAAAGGTAAACATTATAACCTAATTCATTAATTTGTCCATATGCATATATTTTGTGTAATGTTAATTATGTTTTGGTTATATATAGATTCCTTACAATTATACAGATTACACGTTAATATTTTTCTAATATTACCATAATATGCTTTCTATAATTAATTAGCATATATGCATAATATTCTGTGTAATATTATTTAACTTTTGGTTATATATATATTACATAATACCATATAAGGAATACATGTTAATTCAAAAAGGTAAACCCTAATTCATTAATGTGTCTATATTCATGTAATATTCCGTGTAAGAATTTCAGTTTGGTTTTATATATAGTACATAATACCATATAAAGAATACATGTTAATTATTTCCTAATTCAATAAATGTGGACGTTAATAATATATATGACCATAATAATCTATATATAATTAATTACTCTATATCCTCTCCTATTTAAAATATTTTTTATTCAATTGTAAGGAATACACGTTAATTATTGCGAAATCTATAATAATAATATTTTCATAATTAATTAGTCTATATTTTGTTATAAATCAAATATTTTTTATATTTTTATTCGTGTAATATTAGCATAATAATATTCCATAATTAATTAGTCTATATATTCGGCTATATTTAAAATATTTTTTATTCATAATATTATATACATGTACAATTAGATTAGTGTGGTGCTTCATAGAATGTGACGCAGCATAATTAACTAATTAGTACTTAATAAAATTTATTGTTAATTTGACTATTAATATTAGATAATTATATAAACAATCTATACAATTAATTAGAACGTACAACGCTGATGTGGGCATAATTAATATATTTTTTATTCTACAACAATATCATAAATTAATATTATGCTAATTCATCATTAATAATTAATCCAAATTATTATTAATTTGACTAATAATATAGATTTGCATAAATATTTATTATTTGTAATATGACCATAATAATATTTAATTGACTAATTTATGATAACATCAAAATATAAATAACTGATTTGATTAAAAATAAAGTGCAGAATAGGAATAAAAACAATAACAAATAACATAAATTTGTGAACTTTGTGATTTTAATTTTTACGGTGTGATCCGTTTCTGATTTTGGAGAATTTTAAAGCTCATGGACTTCTTTGTATTATTTCGTCTATTCCTAAATTTGTGAACTTTGTATGGATTTGAAATTTGTAGGCTTTGGAGTTGAATTTTTGAATTTTTAAATCGGGTTTTGTGTCATCTTTTATTGAATGAATGATTTAATTAAATACGTGTGGTATGTATTTATTGCATTTTTCTTTATTTGGGTGAAATGAATGATTTAATTAAATGAAAATTTTAACAAATTTGTAAAGATCTAATTTTTATTTCAAATTCGTGAATAACTACTAAGTTTCTTAAATGTAATTAAAAAGTTATTACATGTTAATCATTCATTGACCTTGATGTTTTCAAAGGTGTAATTAAAAAAAAAAAATTGTATCTAGTGATTTGAATTTTGATATTATAAATTGCTAACATTAAACAGTCTGTTTAGTTCGCTAGAAAATATTTGAACAGTAATAGAATAGAAATTTCATAGAAAATAAATTATAGGAGTAAAAATAATAACATAACAAAGGTAAATTGTTGACATATTTGTCGTTATTCGTCTTTAAGCAGAGTCCTCATTATCCAAATTTCCAACCGGAGGTTCAGGCACATGTCCATCCAAAGAATCGTGAAAGTTAAGAAAATTTAAATATGTCAATAAAGTTGTATATAAAAAAAAAAAAAAAAAAAAAAAAAAAGCAAAACAATGTATGTAAGCAATAGACCACATCTTCAGCGAAATCATAATCTTCTCTGTCATAAACATGTGTTGGGAAATCTGCATCATTCAAACTTTCCACAGAAGTTCTGTCACAAAACATCAGCATATACATGAGATTAGTAGTTTTGTTTTTATACTTATTATAAACCACCTCAAATCTATTAATTCGATAAACTTTTCTTTCTTTAAATTTCTTGAGCCACTTTTGAACACGCAATCGAGGAATATGCATATGTATAAAAGTTCTATGAAATTATAAAAAAAGCATATGCATCAACTAAAATTTTATAAATACAAAATTTAAAGATTAATATTATAGTAAAAAAAAATACCTCTACATTATGTACTACACACTTTATAGAGTTTATGATTTCAGAACCTCTTGTTTCTGGAAGACGAACGACACAAAGCACTCTAAACCTGATGGTATTCCACCGGAGTTTAGGACGAAGTTGATTACCAACAATCTCGCTGTGAAGTTCAGCCGCCATTGAGAATCGATATAAAGAGGAGAGTACAAAGGTAGAAATACGTTAGAAGGTGACAGCTTTGGGTTTAGCATAATGATGGGTTTAAATAGCAAATTGTTATGTTATTACCATATTTAATTATTACACTAATACCTAATTTATAATTCTAATGTAAAAATTGTTATTATTATTATTAGCAGTTAATTAGTTTTATATAAATTTCGTGTAATTTATATATGCATTATGCATAATTTCTGTTATTTATTTTACTGTGAAGTTGTGTTAATCAAAATTCCTCTTCCAAATTTCCTCTGATCCACTTAAGTCTATATGCATAAATTATTAAAATCTATAATAATTATGAAAAGAATATTATGGTAATATTAACTAATACACGTTCCCGCACACGGAATATTCCTTACAATTAAAAGGAATACACGGATATATAATTTACATAATTAATTAGTTTATATTACCATAATATTATTTCCATAATTAATTAGTCAATGTTCATAATCTATACATAATTAAAAGGCAGAGTAATTAAGAACACACGGAATATTATGAATTATATATAGACTAATTATATATACACGGATATTACATAAATGCCCCTAAGTTTTCTTTTTATTTTTTTTTGGGGGGGGGGGGGGGGGGGGGGGGTAGGGGGAACTTGGCTAAGAGGATTTTACTTTTAATTATATATAGATATATAGATAGATAGATATAGATATATAGGTAGATATATAGACAGATTATATAAGGATATTTTATTCTCTTTCACTTCTTCCCTCTCAATTCACAGTAATTCTATTTTTACCTACCAAACCATGGAACTTGAATTCGACATTATTTTTTTTCCGCAAGAATTACAATTCTTTTCACCCATAATTCCCTCCTTTCAACCAAACATCCTGTTAAGTGCAAGTGTGTAGCCCCTTTTTTCTTCTCTCTTTTAATAAATTGTAATACTTCAATACAAAATTTTAAATTTAAAAATATAAAATTTAACTTTCAGGAAACTCAGAGACGAGTTTGCAAAGAAGAAAGAAAGAAGAGAATTACGTTACATTCAATCAACCAACTTCAATACAGAGGCTAAGCTACATTTAAACTAAAGCAAAGAGGCGGGAAGATGGTAGTTGTAACAGAAGGTAGTTACATTAGTTACAACTAAGCTAAATGTTATTTGTCTAAGCTGGCTGCTGCATGTGTTGATACCCCCCGCTAGTTGAAGTGTATATGCAATGAAGATCTAGCTTGGAGATTAGATCACATAAGGTGTTGGGAGCATGAGGTTTTGTAAACACATCTGGTAGTTGGTTGTGGAGACACGTAGGAGCTTTAGGACCCCCTTTTGCAGTTTTTCCCTTACAAGGTGTCAATCGATCTCGATATGCTTTGTTCTTTCATGAAATACCAGATTTTCAGCTATGGCAATAGCTGATTTATTTTCACAGTATAGAATTGCTGGAGGACTCCCATCTATTCCCAAGTCTTGCAGTAGATATAACAGCCATTGTATCTCACAAGCTGTTGTAGCTAGAGCTCTATATTTTGCTTCTGAGGAACTCCAAGATATAGTGATATGTTTCTTGGATTTCCAAGAAAATAAAGTTGTGCCAAGGAATATACAGAAGCTTGTAACTGACCTTCTGGTATCTGGACATGTAGCCCAGTCTGAGTCAGTAAAGGCTTTAATCTGCAAGGTGGAAGTAGCTGAGAAGAAGGGACCTTGAGCTGGGGCTGCTTTGATGTATCTCAGTACTTGTGAGCTGCTTGCATGTGAATATCAGTAGGGCAATCTAAGAATTGGAATAGTTGTTGAGTTGCATAACTGATGTCAGGCCTTTAGATAGTTAAGTACAACAGTTTCCTACAAGTCTTCTGAATTGAGTGGCATATTCAAGCTTATTACCAGTGGTTTTGCTGTACTTTATGGATGTGATCATATGAGTCCTCAAGGAGTTCTAGGACATATTTCCTTTGTGACATGGAAATACCACTTCTGTTCCTTGCAATCTCTAATCCCAAAAAGAACTTTAGAAGACCTAAGTCATTTATATGAAAGATATTGTCTAACTGTTTTTTGATTTACTGAACTTGGCTTAGGTTGGGACTTGCTATTACAACATCATCAACATAAACAAGCAATGCCACAAAATTTTCTCCTTGACCTCAGGTAAATAAAGAGGAGTCAGAGATAGCTTGTGAGAACCCCATGCTCAGTAACTCTTGAGTCAGCTTTATGTTCCATTGCCTACTTACTTTTTTTTGCCATATAAGGACTTTGTCAACTTGCATACCTGACTAGTTTCTAGGGGGGTGAAGCAAAGAGGTAATTTCATGTAGACTTCCTCATTCAAGTCCCCATGTAGGAATGCATTATTTACATCCAACTGGTGGAGGGTCTAGCCTTTGATAGCAGCAACAACCAACAGCCTTTGGCAACCAGCCTAGCCTTGTGCGTTTCAATGGTTCCATCAGCCTTGAGCTTAGTCTTGTACACCCAGTTGCAACCAATAGGTTCTTTGTTAGGTGGAAGGTCTGTGATCACCCAAGTATTGTTGGCTTGAAAGGCATTGATCTCATCTTCTATAGCCTTCTTCCAGTAGTCATTTTTGATAGCTTCATTGTAGTTTTTAGGTTCTCTGACCTCCAGAGCTTGGATAGCAAAAGCCCTATATCCTTGTGATAGGCTGTCATAATGACTTTTGAGATGTCATGAGGGGAGGTTTTTATAGTAGCAACACTTTGACAACTGTATTCATTTAGGTAGGCTAGTGTTGTCTTTGCGCTGGTTGATCTCCTTGGCTGTGGTGCAGGTGTGGGATCTGCCCTGGGAGAGCTATTAATCTGTTCTGGTTGTGCAGGCTGAACTTCAGGGGAATTGTGGTTAGTGTCTAATGGAGGAGCTTTAGGAGGAGGTTTTTCAGTATCCAGGTAAGATATTCCTTCTGATGGTAGGACTAGATCAACTGGTTGACTGTTATTTGAGATCTGATAAGGAAAGAGATTCCCATAAAAACTGAATCCCTAGACAGAATTATCTCCGTAGTCTGTAAATCAAGCAATTTTTACCCATTTATTCCATTGGCAAATCCCAGAAATATGCACTTTCTAGCCCTTTGTTCAAACTTACTTTTTTGACAGCTAGGACTGAAAGCAAAAGCTAAGCAGCCAAAGACTTTGAGGTGTTGACATTGTGGCACTTTGTTGAATAGGATCTGATATGGAATTTGGTTATCCAGTGTTGCTAGAGGAAGCCTATTGATTATATAAACAACATGCATAATGCAATCTCCCCAAAAAATTTCAGGTAAGTTGCCATGAAACCTTAGAGCTCTTGCTACTGATAGGATGTGGTCATGTTTTCTTTCAATAACACTATTTTGTTGAGGGGTATAAATACAAGATTTCTGGTGAATGATCACTTTGTTTTGATAGAACTATTCCATTAGGAACTCTTTTCCATTATCAGATCTTATGCATTTAATATTCTTCCCAAATTGTGTATTAACCATATCACATAATGACTGCATAAGTTGTTTGACCTCACCTTTTCTTCTCATGAGGTAGATCCAATTGGCTCTACTGTGATCATCTACCAGAGTTAAACAATATTGATGACCATAGATAGTGAGAGTGTGATAGGGTCCCCAAATATCAGCATGAACAAGATCAAAACAATTACTTGAAGTAGAAAGACTAGGCTGAAATGGTAGCCTTTTTTTGCTTTGCAAAATGACAACAATCACAAGCAGTAGGTTTTTCATTACAAATCTTATTGTCTATAGTATGAAGAAATCTAATCTTGCCTTCAGATGCATGTCCCAACCTAGCATGCCAAAAACTACACAAATTGACAATAGGTTTACAGTGGACAGAAATAGGGAAAATCAGCTAATAAGGGTCTTTTTTCAGCTCAGCCAAACCAATCATCCTCCCATGGTGTTGATCCTGTATAACACATTGATTAGAGTGGAATAGAACTCTGCAGTTTGATCCTCTTATCAGCTCACCCAAGGATATCAAATTGTAGTGAAAAATGGGAACACACAAGACATTCTGCAAGGTAAGTTCAACAGACAATTGGACAATCCCAATATGGGATACTTGGGCATTATGTCCATTTGGTAGATCAACATGTATACCCTGGACTTTCTTTGAATTTTGTAAGAGATGCATATTGCAAACAATATGATGTGTGGCTCCACTATCAAGAAACCATGAGTATTTAGTTTCTGTCAAATTATTACTTGGATCAGTAGATTTACCTTCCAAACTGGCCTCTGGGATGAAGTTTACTGATATGGCATTGACATGAGGGGCAGTACTCAGAGGAGAGTTGCTAGTTCTTTCATGTTGCATTAACTCTAAGAACCTTCTAAAATCTTCATGATCAAAGGTGGAATTGCTCTCTGAACCCCCAGTATCCTGTAGGGATGTTTAAACTTGATTTGCTGATGCCACACCTTTGTTTCTTAACTTCCAACCAGGGGGGATATCCATGCTTTTTGTAGCATTTCTCAATAGTATGTCCCGTATATCCACAAAAGCTATAGACAGGTTTTTGCTTCTGATTAGAGAAAGATATCTTTGAATTGACTTCAACTTTGGTAAAGAAGGCACTGGCTCCTGCCATGCTATCTCCTAGGGTGATTGAGTCAATTGTAACTTGTCTTTCCTGTTGTGAAACCATAGAGAAGGCTTCACCAACATCAGGTAGGGGCTTCATTAACATGATTTGTCGTTTAGTGTTGATGAAGCTTTCATTGAGACCAAAGAGAAATGCTGACAACATGTCATTCTCCAGATGAGTCCTGACCTTTTCAGATAAACTGCTACCACACTTGCAACTTGGTGAACACTCACAAGCAGGAACAGGCCTCAACATAAGTATTTCATCTCATAGCAACTTTAACTGTGTGAAATATTCATTAACAGTAGATGTACCTTGCTAGTCTGATGAATCTCAGCCTGTATCTCAAAGATGCGAAACACATCTTGTTGGCTAAATAGCTTTCTCAGATCTTTCCAAACACCTTCAGCCATGTTGATCCAGAGAACGCTTCGACCAATAGTGGGAGAGAGAGCTCTGAGGATCCACGATAGGAGCATAGTATTACATTGATCCCAAAAAAAAAAAAAAAAAAAAAAAAAAAAAACTTAGGATCAACTCGATTAGGGATCGGCATCGATTCGTCTACAATCACCATTTATTCTTCGATCGCAGGGCCATTTCCATGGCTCTTGCCCATGGATGATAGTTGGATCTTCCCTCCAACTGAACCGTCACCAGCTGCAACGACGGACTTTCATTCGGATGAAGATAGAGGGGATCAGTGCGATCTTTAGGATCAAATGCAGCAAGAGTCGCAATTGCTGGGATCGGAGTTGGAACCGGATTCATTTGTTTAGGATTTGCAGGATTCGTGGCTATCGATGGATGAACCATATTTACTGCAGGTGAACGCCAAACCATGAGGTTATAGCTCTGATACCATTTCAGGAAACTCAGAGATGAGTTCGCAAAGAAGAAAGAAAGAAGAGAATTCAGTTACATTCAATCAACCAACTTCAATACAGAGGCTAAGCTACATTTAAACTAAAGCAAAGAGGCGGGGAGATGGTAGTTGTAACAGAAGGTAGTTACATTAGTTACAACTAAGCTAAATGCTATTTGTCTGAGCTGACTGCTGCATGTGTTGACATTAACATCTTTATTTAATTATAGTTCAATCTTTTATTTAAAATTAAAATTCAAATAATTAGTTATATTTAAAAGTTAAAAAATAAAATAATTGGTTAATCGATGATTCATAAACCAAAATCATAAGTTCAACGAATTATCTAAAACTATATAGTAACGGTTTAGGTTATAGTTCTTGCCAACAATGAACAAGAATCAAACCAAATTAAATCACACTCAAATTTAAAATAAATATTTTTGATATACTATCTATATTAACACGAATAATCAATATAATCAATCCGTTATAAAGGTGGGGTATTAAAATGCGTGTTCTTTTGGCAGATCTGCAGCGAACCCAACATTGGTTTGAAAATTCTGACACAGATTGAAATATGAATAGTTAATTCCGTAGCTTTGTTTCAGCTCCCATCAATAATTGATCATCCTTTTGTGGGAAGTTTTTGGTTACTTTACTTCCTCCATCTCATTGAGTAGTTTGATGACAATTTTTGCAGTGCTTTATTTGGGTTTTGTTTGTTTGTTGGTGCGTGTGACTTCACAAATGTGGATGTGTCAAGTGAGTAAGTAACTTTATGTGGGGGTGACCGTTTTGTTGTGCGTCAGTCGATTTGGCCAAGTTCAGTTTTTGTTCGATTTGAGATGTGACATTGTGGCTTATCAGGAAGGAATGTGGTTAAATAGTTAATGTCTATCTACTTGTCATTAATCGATTTTAAGTAGGATATAACAATTAAATAGTCAAAACATTTTGTGGTTAAGCGTATTTGACATACCGCTGAGATCTATCAATTGATATTTAATTCCAATCATGTCAATTCTTTCCATTCAACTCAAAAGAAAAAAAAAAAAAAAAAGAAGTCTGCATATACTACTCAAATGTATGTTGTTAGTGAAGCTAGTCTTTGTAACGATCGCCCATAGGTAACTAGTTCAAACTAAGAAAACCAATAAATAACTATTACAAGAAGTTAAACTTTAAATTTTATGATTATTAAGTCAACTATTTGACCAACTTGAATAGAGTTTGTCCGATTATAATTTACTTTCCTTTGGAATAATTGTGTTAAAATATAGTGTGGACTCGAACATAAACATTTTATTTTACTTGGACTTTTCAAATCCAAATTATTAAGTAATAAAAATGATGTATTTTAATATATATATATATATATATATATATATATATATATATATATATATATATATATATATATATATATATATATTCGTGGTGTTTTTCGGAGAGCTGCTCACGAATGGTTATTGTTGAAATTCAATTGTATTAATCTAATTAAACCAAATGAGACTACCAGTGTAGTATGCACAAAATTTTTAAAAAATAATGGTGAGTAACATTTTACACTTAAATGTGAATACCAGTAGTATGCAAAAGAAACAAATAAAAAAAAATAAAAAAATGGTGAGTAATATTTTGCACTTAAATTTATCTTGGTGTAACTCAAAACGCTATCTTTAGGTTATCTTCAACAACCCCTCCCCCCCCCCCCCCCCCCCCCCATCTTGGTGTAACTCAAAACGCTATCGTTAGGTTATCTTCAACAACCCCACCCCCCCCCCCCCCGCCTTCTCCCCTCATCCCACCCAATTTGCACATATTTTACTTTTTACCCTTTCACTATATAATAACTATTATTTTTAGTCTTTAACTATTAATTGAGTCACATTTAGTCTTTCAACCATTTTCAATTGATTAAAGACGCTTCAAAATATCCTTATTTATAGAATGGTAAAATTTGATACGTTGTTCAAAAAAAATAAAATTATCTCAAATATTTTGGATTAAATTTTGTTGATTCAAAATATTGAGATAATAATTTTATTAAAATTGATAGTCCATGATTAAAAGTTTTTTTTTAAGAGTTAACTACGAATTTAGTACTCAACTACGGTGGCATTTTCACATTCATTCCTCAACTAATAATTTGATTACATTCTGCCTTTGACTTTAATTCTAAGTAAAAATATTAGTCTTTTATTCCTATTGTATATGTCTAGTTCGATTAACGAGATTTGAATAAAATTATATACAATTTAACTCTTTGTAATACTTAATTTAGTATTAGTGCATAAAAATTATATACTTAAAAAAATACATTAAAATTATTATCCTCTAGCTTGGAAATACTATATTAACGGCGGGCAGGTTTTTACGCGAAAAAGACTCCGTACTTAATAATAGAAGGATTTGGCAGAAATAAGTAAAATTGTCCCTCCATTCTGGCGCATAAAATTTCACGGATTCTAAGAAAAACGAACAAGTAACAGAAACACAAAAGATTGAATTTTCACTTTTCTTTGTCCAATAGAATATGTATAGGTGGGCAGGAGTAATACTCCTTAGAAGTGCATTTAGTATGGAGCATTATTTAACAGTTGATATAGTCAATATTTGAAGGTGAAAAAAGTCCCAAAAAGTTGAAATACTTAAGCCCAAAGTTGTGCAAATTAAATAACAAAAGGTAGGGCTAAATAACTTTTGATTATAAACAATATGGTGTTTTCACTTGGATAATGACAGATTGACAACACCCACGTAGATGCTGGCTTATCACTTTATCATTGGACAATCATTTTCATTAGTATGCCATCCTAATATAATAAGCCACGCTTTCCAAATCTCTCCCAATACAAAATTTGAAATTTGTTTAAATATTGTCTCACTCATACAACACCATTTCATTAGAATATAATGCACACAAATTTTCTTGGTCATTAGGTGAGGACTGAGGGCGACAACCAACTTATCCAATTCAAAATTTAAACCCAAGGATTTTAAAATCTAGTCTTGTGCAATTATTTATACGTTTTTTTTTTAAAAAAAAAATTGGTCAAAATTGATCCATATATAGTATTTAGGTGTTGCACTATTCTTATATAAATTTAAAATTGACATTATTATTATGATGGAACATTTAAGAGCGTCTCTAATAGGGGAATTTTTGAATAGTTTTTGCAGGCTAATTAAGTTGCTTGTGTAGAGTAGAGCAAGAGAAGAAAGAGAAGATGTTGGGTACTTGCAGAGAACTTGATTTTTTAATTAAAAGTTGGCATACTAAAAAAAAAAAAGCAACCCAATCCTCTGGCGTGGATGAAGTACGTACACTAGAAGCGCCTAGTCGGGCGTGTGCAGTACACACGGCCGCTGGGCGCGTTAAACTGTATATTTCTTCTTCTTTTTTTCCCTTCACTCTCATCTTTTTTTTTTCCTAGTCACACCTACAAAAACTCCCCAAAAACTATGCCTATTGAGGATGCTATAAGAGCATCCATAATAGTGGAGATATTTTGTGGTTTTGAGGAGTTTTTGCAAATGTGATTAGGAAAGAGAATATGAGAGGGATGAGAGAAAAAAGAAAAAAAATAAAGCAAAACTGATAAAAAAAACATATAATAACAACTGTCAGGCACGCCTGACGCACCCAGCGCTGGACGCAGTGGTGACACTCATGCGGGGTGGAAGTTTTTTTTTTCAGTGGGTCCCACATTTCTGAAATAACTCTTCATTTGTCGTGGGCTCCCATTTTTCTCTCTCTTACACTCTCTTTCATCCATGTCACTAAGCACTATTCCAAAAACTCCAACATGACCAGTGATGTGCATGCTTTAAGAGCAAAGCCATTAGAAGTTTTTATTGATTTTTGCAAGAGTAAAAACTAGGTAGATGGTTTAATTTTGTACAAATAGAGAACACGGTTTTTACTCAATTTTTTTTTTTCATGCAAGTATTTATTTTTAGTGGGGTTAGTGAGGAGAGAGAAAAGGAAAGAACTTGACAATTTTCTGTGCGTTGAGCGCAAAATACACGCCAAGTAGGCGCGTGCATAGCACGCCCATTCTAGGTGCGTAAAAGTGGTCTTTTTCTTTAAAAATACTTTTTTTTTTCAAACAATGTTTTTTTTTTTTTTTTTTTTTTTCATCCCCTTATTCTCTCTCCTCTCTCCCCTAGTTGTAGCTGACCAATCAATACAATTTTCTTGGTTGTTTCTCTTACATAGAAGAGAGAGGAGATGATGTGGAGGGAAGATGAGAGATGAAAATGCATTTGCATCAATTAGGGTTTTTTTTTTTTTTTTTTTATTTTATTTTTTTTGTGGCGCTTGCAAAAAAAAAAAAAAAAAAAGTCATCCTTGAAGTGTGCTTGGTTCACCATGCGTGTCAGAGGGCGGGTTGATAATCATTTAATTTTAACCTCTATGTTTAATTGAGTTACCATAATTTAAATCATCTTAGAATCTTAGATGCTCTGTTGGGCCGGTGTATGGGGGCCATTAGGGTTGTGGATTCAACTTTTTGAAAAAAATAATCATTTAATTTTTTTTTTCTCTCTCTTACATTCAACTTCCACCCTCTCCCCTCCCCCCCCGCCCTAAATGTTTTAAGGTTAATTTTACATAATTCGAAAGATTTCTTTATGGTCAATATAAGATTCAAATGCCTTTGAATGAAGTAGTCCAAATATATAGCACGATTTTCGTACCAGAGTATCATGTGTTTAATTTATATCAATACTCTTTCGGTTGAATTAATCATACAAAATTTTTCTAGTATTGTTTATATCTTGTATACCTCCTCCTACTACTACTACTATTATTATTATTATTATTATTATTATTATTATTATTATTATTATTTTCTTTTTTACCAAAAATCCACTAGTGGTTTCTTTTGTATACCTAAAGAAAAACTCTTTCAAAAAAACAAATAAGACCGAAAGTAAACTAGAAACGTGACCCACAACATTAACCAGAAGTAAACTTGTGACACCCCTGAGGATAGTCAAAGATTTCACTAAAAATTTACTGTAGTGTATGTGAGAACATTTTGGATGGTTTGAAAAAGTTAGAAATTAGAGTGAAAAAGATTGTGCAAGAATGTCGTTGAAATCAAAAGTGCAGTAAACCCATTTGCAGGCATTTGTTGTATTGGTAGAAATAATAAATAAAGGGTGGACGAATTCAAAATCAACAAATCTCCAGTCTCTGTTATTTTCTTCCCCCCCATTCCAGAACAAACACAAACAACACACGATTCTAAACTTTCATTGTCAAAGGAATCGAACAGGCGCTGTTTGAACTTTCGTTTGTTTTCTTCTCCCTTTCCCCTCTTTCTGCACATTTTCTCAACTATCCCACCCTCCCCCCTCGAGGAAATGGCAGTAAGTTCAAGTACTATAGTTGCTATTTTTTTAATTTTTTGTTGATCTATACATTTTTATCAAATTTTAAGAGAGTGGGTGTGTTGTTTTCTTGGTTGGGTTATTGGAATTACTCTATATTCTAGTACTTTAGGTGCATAAACTGAGTATTCACCTGTTTCTTGAACTTAGCTGGGAAAACTTGTTAATTTGGTCTTTTCTCCAAGTTAGATCCATGGAGATGAAGTTAAAATAAATGGGTTTTGGATTTGAAGCTTGGGCAATCTGTATTAGTTTGCTTCTGTAAAGATTGGAGTTTCAAAATGCAGGCATCAGTGCAGTGCAGGCCGCAGGAAAGGACTCTTGGGATGGTGATGAAAGAGGTGGATGAAGATCTTGCTATTTTTCTTCAGATGAGGCGCAGTGTAAAAGAGAGGGAGGATCATCATATTCATTCTGGGATCTTTGAGGAGTTTAATGATTCATTGTGTATGTTGTTCATTCTAGTAAAATGCTATATTTGTTTGGGAACTTGGGTTCTTCCTGTTTTTAGAAAAAGGGCTTTTAGTTTATGCCTTTTTCATGATTCTTGGTGAAATTTAAGTTTGATGGTTTACTTTAACTTATTGGTGTTTTTGTAGTTGAAAACTCACCTGCAGATTCAACTGCCAAAGAAAATTTCCTGAGTTCTGAGAATGACACAAGTGATTATGACTGGTAACTCTCTATAGCATTCATTTCTTTTCTTTTGTGTCATTTAAGAAATATGAAAGAAGATATATTGGGTGAAGTTTACCATCTTAAATAACACATTCTGAGACTCAGGCTTGTTTCGCTGCCCCGGGCACCTTCATATCCCTCCCTGGATGAGGAAGAGAACACTGTAGAGAAACATCCCGATTCAACTGAGTTAGATTCTACGGTGAGCACTATAAACTTGGCATGATAAGAGTAAAACATGTGTTCCATCTCAACTAAAAGTCTAAGCTGATAGTTCGATTGCACGTTTATGTATCAACAACGAGTAGATTGCTAATGAAATGGCTTCTGTAAATTATGGGATGTTGCAGCCTGCTGATTCCCCGAAGGATCTAGCTTCACAAAACAGTTCGTCTATAGGGGCATTTACGTCCTCGGGGAAAAGTACTTCTTCGAGTAGCATGAACTCGTCTTCTGCTGGAAATGGAAGGACGGTATCATCAGGGGGGAGAAAATCAACTGCTTCTAGATCTGCAACGCCCAACGGGCGACCACGTGTGCCTTCCATCTCAAAAATGTCAAGACCTTCCACGCCTACTTCTCGAGCATCGTTGCCTTCTGCTAAGACGATTGCTGCTGCTCCTGGAAGAACTAGTTCGCGTTCTTCTACACCAGCTGCTAGACCTTCTGTTCCCGCCACGTCCAAGTCGGCTTCGAGGTCTGCAACGCCAACACGGAGGACACCAACCCCATCCGCTTCTTCTGCCCGGTCTTCATCCGTGGCCAAAACCGCTCCCACAAAGGCCAAGAAACCAGAATCTGCCCGTGGTCTTTCTCCAACTGTGAAGTCTAGGCCAAGTTCATCACAGGATGCTCCCAAAATTTCCCGAGCTCCAGTGATGAAAAGGCCTGTTTCTGCCTCTAGGGGAAGGCCAATTGCGCCTCATGTTCGCCCATCTACTACCAACACTGGTTCTGATGGAAAACCAAGGCATAGATCATGTTCTCCATCTAAAGGCCAAATCCCGAACATTAGCATTCATAGCCATTGGAGCGGTTCGCTTTCCAGGAGCCGAGGGTACAATAATGATGAAGATGATGTGAACCCTGTACTGATGGGGACAAAGATGGTTGAAAGAGTAGTAAACATGAGAAAACTTGCTCCCCCCAAGCCCGATGACCATCAATCTAGCAGCAAAGACTCCTCCAAGAAGTCTTCCATATCTCAAAAGAGCTCAAGCTTCGGAACATCCTTCTCTAAGAAGTCTCTGGACATGGCTATAAGACATATGGTAAATACCTGCAACCCACTTCTCTCTTATTCAATGTGTCTGCGTTAGAGTTAAGACCAGTTGAGGAAGGAACAATGGAGAATTGAATTGAAAAGACTGGAAACAAGGATACCTCCAACAAGAAATGGTTCTTGCCCAGCTATAATTAGCACTTATTTTCTAATTACTATTGCTTGCCTCAACACTAAGGAAGACTCCCTATCTATAATCTCGTATATGTTATAATAAAGTAAATAGCATAATATCCTCCCCGATTCTCTGCTGCAATCCCATGACGCTTGATTGGTTGATTGATTCCCTTTTCTCATTGTGTCTTGATTTCTTTTCTTTCTCCTTGAGTAAACAATCCACCGATTTTAGTGCTTTATCAGTCCGAGACCAACCTTTCCATGCTGCATTTCTTGATTTTCTTCCCATTTTCTATAGGAAATACGACGAAGCAGTGGTGGTAATGCAAACCGAGCAATGAAAAAGGGTTATCCAGCATCCTCGGCCAATGGTGTTCAGGCAAACTGCAGCAGTAAGAGCAAAACAAGTAGCAATGCCAGTCCCGAGCCCAGCATCAACAATGGCTGCCATCATGGCTACGAAAGTGAAGTGGAAGACAGTAATTGTGGAAGCGAAAGAGGACAACCCTCTGATCATCTGCAGCCATCAGAAAAGTAGCTTATTGAAATTGCAGATCAGATACACATTTCTGCAGTAAGTTATCGCTTGCCAGCATATTGCACTTGGATTTCGTTTTTTACAAAAATCCGGTTGTTACATTCTTTGTACTCTCTGCGTGTGTTGTGCTACTGCTTCTGTAGCAAGAACTAGATACAGCTTGTAATTTATATGATTTTTGTGATAGAGATTATAAAAACTTGAACATTAATTAGCACATTAATGTTGATAAATTTGATGTGTTATTTTCTGGTAATTTTGACTTCTGAGTTCTTCTAAGTACATCATGCATGTTTCAATAATTTGTTTTATGGTATGTGTAATTCAAATTCAAAAACTATAAACAACTCTACTTGGTTATAGGTATACTTCTTATTTTGTCAATTTTTTTTAAGAGATTGAAGCAAAATAACATCAGAGACACTGCTTTAGTTTCCTAATACGAAGTAAATGGATAATGTTTTCTAACATGAAATTGTTAAAAAGAAACATTTGTATGTAATTAGCATTATGTTTGGGACAACCTAGACAAGTTGGTCGGACAATTGATTTGGTAATCACAAAGTTCTAAGTTCGATTTTTTGTGGGAACTATCTATTAGTCTTTTAGTTTGAGCTGATTAGTTATGGACAATCTAGGCTGATTCCTTTGCTAGTTAGGGTCACAAAATGGGCTTCACTTAAAGCACACCTTCAGATATCATTTGTGCAATAGTTATGCTGTGCATCCGTATACACCATGCATGGTGCATACGGATGCCAAAACGACGTCGTTTTATTAAAAAACGCGCGTCTCCCCTTTAAAAAAAATTCAGGTTCGATTCCCAGCAATAACATTATATTGTTCATTCATTCTGGAATTTTAGTTCATAGATTATGGAATTATAGTTCATTGATTATGGAATTATAGTTCATCGATTATGGAATTGTAGTTCATCAATTCTGAAATTTTAGTTTATAGTTATGGAATTTTAGTTCATTCATTCTGGAATTTTTAGTTCATAGATTAGATTATGGAATTATAGTTCATCGATTATGGAATTTTAGTTCATATGTTGTTGCTGGGAATCGAACCTGATTTTTTTTTTTTATTTTTTTTAAGGGGAGACGCGCGTTTTATTAAAACGACGTCGTTTTTGCATCCGTATGCACCATGCATGGTGCATATGGATGCACAACATAATTTGCCTCATTTGTGGGCTTCCTCTCAAATAAAAAAGTACGGGAGATTATGACAAATTATTGTGTGGACCATGGTCCATACAGTGCTGTGTGGATCAATCGTTATACCGTACACCACGGCGCACATAGTAATGTGCGCCCCGTGTCTCCCATAACGACGTTGTTTTGTTAAGTTGTGTGGTGAGTTGACGCGACAGAGTATATGTGTATTTTGGTATATAATTATGTACATTTTGTTATACATTTATGTACATTTTTTATACAATTATGTACATTCCCCATTTGGTTCGCTGGAAAATATTTGATGGGAAATGGAATTCAAATTCCATGGAAAACAAATTACCAAGAAAATAGGTTCCATTGTTTGGTTGGTGGAAAAGAAATTATTGGGAATATGAATACTATTGTTTGGTTGGGTTTGGAATGGTAAGGAATTATGAATATAAAGACTAATTTGCCCTTAACAATAATATATACATGTTTAATCACAAATTTGTTATTAGAATAGGATGATGGCCATTCGCATGCTGCTAACATGTCTCTAACATCACATGTTCAAGCTTATCAACCGCAAGTCCCACCAGGTACGGTTGGTATCTACGTAGATGCGGTAGTTTTCTCGGATATGGAGGATGGTTCTTTTTTTGGTGCTTTCATGACGAATAGCAATGGTGATTATGTGGCTTCAAGCAGAAATGGTCCCATTCGTTGTATGCGGGATGTCTTTTTGGCTGAAGCTATGGCTGTGAAGGAAGCACTGTCCTGGGCCAAGGACAGGGGTGATACGAAGTTGGCCATTTATTCTGACTGCCAACTAGTATGTAAGTAGTTTACTGGTGTGGCACAAGATCTTTCCTATGCAGGTTGCGTTTTTAACGAGTGCCGAACACTTCAACGACACTTTGAATCAGTGTCTATTCAATTTATTCCGAGATCAGTGAATAAGTTCGCTCATGTTTTAGCAAGAGCTACTCGTTCCCAACCTGGTCCTCTATGTTGGTTAAATTTGATTCCTTCTTGTATTGAGCATATGTTTTAATAAAATCTTCTATATTCCTTTCAAAAAAAAAAAAAAAAACTTTGATGAGGGTAAAATAGTCCAACATTGTTATACTTTCTTCCCAAATACTTTGGAAAACAAAATACCAATGTCTTGCTAGGATGTTGTTTTCCTTCAACTTCAGGAATTCAAATTCCAATGCAAAAGATTTTCCATCTAACCAAACAACATAAAACAACATTTTCCTACACTTTTAAGAAAACATTTTCCATGGAATTTGACTTCCATCCAACCAAACACCTCTACAATTATGTACATCCGAAACATGGGATTTTTTTAAGAGTTAAAAATTTATGTGTATTATGTTCAGAGTTTATGTGTATTATGTATTATGTTAGATTATGTGTATTATCTTTTCAAAAAAGAGTATGTGTATTCTGTTATACAATTATGCACATTCTGTTATGCAATTATGTATATTTTCAAAATATGAGTTTTTTTTTTAAGAAGTTAACAGTAGACACGGAAAGCGGAATTTCTCAAAAAAAAAAAGAAAAAGAAAAAAGTATAAAACGACATCGTTTTGCACCAGGGCGCACAATGATGCACAATATAAATTGCCTATGTGGACCATAACAAAAAATACATTTTTAATATATTAAAAGTACATTATTCGTGTACTGAATGTACATTATATAAATTAATAATGTACTTTTTCAGAATATAATGTACATTTTTAATATAGTAAAAGTACATTATTTATGTACAGAATGTATATTATTTAATAGTATAGTCCACACAGTTGCGTGGATCATGTTTTACACAATAATGATTGGAATATTATGTTTCAACAATTTGACCTTTTCTCATTTCATATGTTTGCGCATTTCCACAAGTAACAAATTTCTTTTTTTCGTGACTTGTTCATCGCTACAAGTTCGCTCCCATTATTGCATTTTTAGTCTTGTCTCAAGAGTTATGTGTGGTGTATCAATTATTAGCCTACGGATGATTAAAATATGAACAGATAACAGATAATTGTGACTTTTTATTTTTTAAATTGTAATAAAGTTAGTAGTATTGAAAAAAAAATAAAATGATTATACATATATCGGGAGTAAGTTGTGTAAACGGAAGAAAGTGAAAAAAAAAATAAAATGATTATACATAAGTTCTCTTATGTATTCTTATATTCTATGTACGGTTGTTTTGGTTAATTATTTCGCGTGGCTGCTTAATCAAGCAGCTGGATGTGCACAACGGTTTCCTGAATGGGAATTTAGCTGAGACGGTCTACATGCTCCAGCCTCCGGGTTATGAAGATCAGATATGGCTGCGCCGGATCATGTGTGTTTGTTGCAGCGGTCCTTGTTTGGGCTGAAGCAGGCTCCTTGTGACTGGTTTGATCGTTTGCCATGCCTTTTCGGTTTCCGTTGGCTTTACACCATCTAAGACGGATGTATCGTTGTTTATTTATTCTTGGGGTCCTACTAAGCTTTATTTACTTGTGTATGTCGATGATATCTTGGTGATGGGGTCTGACTCGGCTTGTGAGAATGGTTTGGTTGCTAAGATGGGCTCTGAATTTAAGATCCGTGACATGGGTCGCCTATCCTTTTTCCTTGGTATTGAGACGATCCCGGTGGATGATGGTTTGCTTCTTTCACAGCAGCATTATATGAAAGACATTCTGAAGCGTGCAGGTATGGTTGACTGCAAGGCTCTTGTCACGCCTGTTTCTCTGACTCGTGTGGATGACGGTGTTGTGATCCCATATGCTGACCTGACACAGTATCGTAGTCTGGCTGGGGCTCTGCAGTATCTTACAGTGACCCGGCCTGATTCGTTTGCGGTGAACAGGTTGTCAGCACATGCATGCGCCTACTACTGAGCACTAGGCATGCTCAAGTGAGTTTTGCGCTACGTTAAAGGTACTCTTAATCGTGGTCTTCGTGTCTGCAAGTCCTCTTTTACTGACATTCATGCATTTTCGGACTCGGATTAGGCTGGTGATCCGGATGATTGCTAGTCCACCAGTGGCTTTGCGGTTTTTTATGGTCAGAACTTGGCATCTTAGATTTGTTGGAAGCAACGTACGATGGCTCGCTCTTTGACTGAGGCTGAGTACAAAACTTTGGTTGATGTGTCTGCTGAGGTTACTTGGCTGGTTTCTCTTTTGAAGGAGCTTTGAATTGGTTTGCCTCGTTTGTCTTCTCCCAGTTTGTGGTGGAAGGATTATCATGCTGCTGGAAGAAAAGGATGTTGACTACGTGATTTATGATGATCCCACCACCTTCATCCTGACTGCTACGACTGCAGCCACGACTGCGACCGCCACTACTGCCACAACCGGGGCAACTGACAAGTCGGACAAGACAGCTGATTAAGCTCCTGCACCGAGGCCTGTACGAAGCACGTCGCAGGTCTGTCCAAAATATGTGAAAGACAACAAAACTGCGCGGGCCTCCATTCTTCAACGGGTAACAAATTCTATTTTTGACATGTTTTCTGGGGAAAAATTTGCAAAAGCTATCTGGGAACAATTGCAAGAAAAATTTGGTTCCGATGACACCGGTAGGAGGAAGTATGTCGTGGGACGATAGCTGCATTTTTAGATGACCGAATCCAAAATCGTGGTGGAACAGGTACATGACTTTGAAAATATGGTTTCTGATATGCGAACTGAAAGTGCTCAAGTCAACGACGCATTCCTGTGCGAAACACTCGTTGATAAGTTGCCCGGGTCGTGGGTAGACTTCAAAAGTAAAATGAAACACGAGCGATGCAACTACACCCTTCAAGAACTTATCAGTAGCATCAATATTGAAGAGGAAAATCGCACCGTATAAAAATCTGAATCCTTTTCTTTTAATTCAAAGGCTAACATTGTTGAGACTACAGGAAAAGATGATAGGCATAAAAAAGGTGATTAAAATAAAAATCAAAAGAGGAATGCGAAAAATAACAACAATCGCATCAAAAATGGAAAAATTCAGAAAAAAGGGCAAGGGCGATGAGTGCTATGTTTGTGGGAAACGTGGACACCGAGCTGCATAGTGCTATCATCGCAAAGGGTCCACAAATAAAAATTCAGAGAAAAACGGATCCAAAAATCAAGTAAATGTGGTAGAAACCACGGAGGATGACGAGGCCGTAGCAGCAGTGATTACTGAGATTAACATGGTCGGAGACCCAGACGAGTGGGTCGTGGACACGGGGGCATCTCGTCACTTCTGCAACAACAAGTCTTTTTTCAAGGTGTTCGAGCCCGTCACTGGAGGAGAACAAGTCTTCATGGGCAACTCCAGCATTTCTGAGGTAAGTGGTAGAGGAAAAGTAGAGTTACTGCTTAATTCTGGCAAGAAGTTATTACTGAACAATGTGTTGTATGTTCCCTCTCTGCGTAGAAACTTAATTTTCGGGGGCCTACTTAATAAGGCCGGGATCAAAATTGTCCTTGAGTCAGACCGATTGGTTATGACTCGGTGTGTGACTTTTCCCGGAAAAGGGTATCTACGGGGGGGGGGGGGGGGGGGGGGGGGGGATTATTTGTGTTAGACATATCTGTAATTGGACCAGAATCTATCAATAAGAATAATGCTTCCCCTTCGGCTTATATTACTGTTTCAGTTAATTTGTGGCATGGTAGATTAGGACACGTTGGCTCGAAATGCTTAAATAGATTAAAAAGCCTAAATATGTTGCCAAACTTGTCTAATGATGCATGCTCCCAATGTGAAACTTGTGCTGAAGCAAAATTTGCTAGGAAGCCCTTTTCTGCTGTAACTCATAGAACTTCATCTGTACTTGAATTGATTCACTTTGATCTAGCGGATTTTAAAACCACTGAAAGTAAAGGTGGAAAACGGTATTATATAACTTTTATAGATGACTATTCTCGTTTTAAAAAACTATACCTCTTGAGAACAAAAGATGAAGCTGAACACAAATTTGTGATTTTTAAAACTGAGGTAGAAAATCAGTTAAACTTGAAACTAAAGAGGCTTCGTTCTGACAGAGGTGGAGAGTATGAATCTTTATCGCTAAAAACCTTATGTGAAACTTCGGGTATAATCCATGAAGTAACTGCACCATACTCTCCCCAACAAAATAGCATCGTTGAAAGGAAAAATAGAACCCTTAAAGAAATGATTAACGCAATGTTGATCAGTTCTGGGGCACCAGACTCTATGTGGGGGGAAGCTGTTCTAACGACGAACCACATTTTAAATAGAGTCCCACATAAAGTGTTCGAAAAAACCCCTTATGAGATGTGGAAAGGGCACGCCCCGAACTTGAAACACTTTAAGGTGTGGGGAAGCTTGACTAAGGTGGGTCTACCATCCCTGAAAAGGTCCAACATAGGACCCAAAACCTTTGATGCTATTTTTGTTGGATATGCCGAGAATAGTGCAGCATATAGGTTTATGTGTCTAGAAAACCGTTCTATGTGTGAGTCAAGAAATGCAATATTCTTTGAACATATCTTTCCTTTAAAAAATGCTTACGTCTCACCAGTTGATACTCTGTGTCAAAATGATAATGCCAATTTTCCTCGCATTACTAACGATTTGGATGAGCCCATAAGAAGCAAAAGACCCATGATAGAGAAGAATTTTGGTTCGGACTTCATAACATATGTCACAGAACTAAAAGATTTAAACGAACTGTGTGATCAGTTTGTGTGCCAATTAGTATTAGAAGAAGAACCAAAAACGTTTAAAGAAGCAATGCAGTCAGTCGACTCCATTCTGTGGAAAGAAGCAATCAAAAGTGAATTGGACTCTATTCAGTCCAACCACACCTGGGAGTTGGTAGAACTACCCAAAGGGTGCAAGCTAATTGGCTGCAAATGGATCTTCAAAAGAAAACTTAGACCAGATGGGTCTATTGAAAGGTTCTAAGCCAGGCTAGTAGCCAAAGGCTTTACACAGAGATTCGGTGAGTATTATTTTTACACATACTCACCAGTGACAAAAGTGGGAACCATTCGAGTTCTATTTGCATTGGCTTCTTTACACAACTGGATAGTTCACCAAATGGACGTAAAAACTGCATTCCTCAATGGTGAATTAGAAGAAGAGATCTACATGGAACAACCACCTGGTTGTGTTGATCCAGGGCAAGAAGGAAAGGTATGTAAATTAAAAAGATCTCTTTGTGGCCTAAAACAGGCCCCCAAGCAGTGGAATGAGAAATTTCACAAGACCTTAATGGACCTAGGCTACACGACTAACCGGTCAGATGCCTGTTTGTACTCAAAAGAGGTCCAATCCAGCATTGTAATAATATGTCTCTATGTGGATGACATGTTGATTTTTAGCTCAAGTATTGAGGCTATAAATGAAACCAAACGAACTCTATGTCAAAAGTTTGAAATGAAGGATCTAGGAGAAGCCGATGTGATACTCGAGATAAAAGTCACAAAAACCAATACAGGTTACCCTCTATCCCAAGGTCACTACACAGAAAAACTTCTGAGGAAGTTTGACAGTTTTGATGTTGTTCCGGCCAAGACTCCTTACGATCCTAGTGTCAAACTAATAAAGAACATGGAGTCAGGTGTGTTTGAAGAGAAATATGCAAAAGTAATCGGGAGTCTAATGTTCTTGATGAACTATACCCGACCCGACATTGCATTTGCCGTGAATAAACTTAGTCGTTTCACTCATAACCCTAGTGGTCCACACTGGGACGCACTAAAAAGGATACTCTGGTATCTTAGAGGCACATTAGACTGGGGTCTCAACTTCAAAGGATACCCAGCTGTGCTAGAAGGGTTCTATGATGCGAACTGGGTAAACGACAGTGATGATGCCAGCTCTACAAGGGGATATGTGTTCACACTATGTGGAGCTGCAGTGTCTTGGAAATCAACCAAACAATCGGGCATAGCCAGATCAACTATGGAAGCAGAGTTCATAGCTTTAGATCTGGCTAGCCAAGAGGCCGAATGGCTAAGAAATCTGTTGGCAGACGTGCCGCTGTGGGGGAGTCCTGCTCCCGCCGTACCCATTCATTGTGATTCTCAAACTGCTATTTGTGTGGCACAAAATAGTGTCTACAATGGAAAGAGAAGACACATTAGAGTCAGACATGAGTCTGTACGACAGTTAATATTGAATGGGGTAATCACAATGGAGTTTGTGAGATCTGAAAGGAATATAGCTGATCCTTTCACGAAAGGCCTAAATCGAAAGGCTATCCTTGATACATCAAGGGAGATGGGCTTAAAAGCCAATGAGGTGAGAAATTCATGATGGATACCACCACGGTGGTCAAATGAAATCATGGAAAGACTCGCATTTATAAGCAGACTGTAAATCAGTCCGCACGCAGTTGGTAGTCAATGGTAAAGTACACTCGGTGGAGTGGAATGTCTGTGCTGAGACAGACAAAATAGGGCTAATACATGGTTATCCAAATAACTATACAAAGTGTACAACAAATGAAGCTAACAAGGTGCACATAAGTTCAAAATTCAACTAGCCAAAGAGTTCAAGACTCTGTTCACTCTCGGATAGTGGATTACATGGTGCCACTACTTGTCAGTTCAAGTTTAACACACTGACATGAAAGTTAGCCCTTATTTGTTACGCTCAGCTACTCTCCGTCAAACCTTACAACTTCGAATGTGTGGGGGATTGTTGGGAAACATTCAAAGGCAAGGCAAGGTTCCAAGTGGGAACTCATTTAATAGTCTTTTACTTAAAGTGAATGTCCCACATTGCTTTGCTAGCTTTGCTTTCCTTCCATTATATATTTGAACTCCCTAAAGAAGGCTTGAAGTGTTATGGAGAGGGAACAAGGGGAAAACCCCGCACGCCGCTCGGCACGCGTGCGAGATGTGGGGTATGGCATAGTTTTATTGCTTGGTCTTCTTTTTCCTATTTTTATGGATCAACACAAGTGTATATTCGAACAGATCAAGTGGCCATTTCCTATTTTTATGGATCAACACAAGTGTATATTCGAACAGATCAAGTGGCCAGCACCACTTGCGTGATCTATCCAATATATGTTGTGGTCAGCACTGGTTTTATTGATGAGCGCCATGCATTGCCTAATTTTGGGCATTGGTTGTAAGAGAAGGAAAGTTGTTATAAATAGCAATAAACCCTTCATTACAAACACACGGCAATATAGCCATATCCACAAACACACCACCCTGCGTTCATTTAAGCTATTTTCTTACCGTCTGTGTTATCTGTCGGAGATATAACGATACCCTGTCGTTAAATATCTTTAAGATAGTGTTGCCAAACACGACACAGAACACTGCCGATTTCCCGTCCCAAAGCAATGACGCATCGCAAACTACTGTCCAGGTATTTATTCTTGTTGTTACGCACAACAGTTAAAGATATTTAAAAATCAAGGAGGCGAT